GTCTGCTTTGGGAGCTATAAAGTCAAGGTATTGTTCAAGGCTAAATATTGCTAAAGAAGTTAGAGTGGCCATTTCTGATATTACGCCACGTTTTGATAAACTTTGTTCTCAACAGCAGGCCCATTCATCACACTGAACTTTGACATTTAAATGTTTGATTTTCTTTGCTGAAAAAAAAAGTAAATACTTGTTAGTTAAATATCGTTTCATTTCAATACATATTTTGGTTAATTGCAAGTGTTAAAACTAATTTCTATTGTTGGCCAAATATTGTAATACTCTAATTTTGAGTAAAAAAAACAGGCTGGGGGTCTGAGAGTATTTTCTCTTGTCAGGGGGGGCTCAGAGGTAAAACGTTTGAGATCCACTGCGTTAGGTCAAAATATTTTCCTCAGCACCCTGTTCTCAAACATAGTATTAAGTTACGATTAAGACATTAGTTTGTGTTGTTTGTAAGATAAACTGATTTCGATTAAATTGTAAGGTGGGTTGCTTTTACTCGTTTTAGTGTTTCACATAGCGTGAAATGTTTGTAATGTTTGGCTTCTACTTGTCGTTTATATATTTCAAGGTAGCTTCGTTAAAAGTAACATTTTTTTCCCCTTTGGAGCTACAGCCCCAATTTGGGCCTTGGCCTACGTCCATAAAACTTTCCCTTTCACTTCGGTTTACTAGATCTTAGACATTCGGTAGAACTCCTTGGGTGGCTGATCAGCTCGTCTCAAGGCCTCTACCTGTACACAAACACAGAAAATCGCTCGCGCACACACACACACACACACACACACACACAAACTGAATATCCATGCCCTGAGAGGGATTCGAACCCACGATCCCGGCTTCCGAGCGAGCGAAGACAGTGCATGTCTTAGACCGCTCGGCTACCGTGACCGGCAAAATTAATATTTAGTATTATCGTAATTTTAGATCATTAAATAATTAAAATATATAAAATTTAAAATACGTGTGTATTCCCCAAATAAACATGATAATGACTTGTAACTTCTGGGAACTCCTTGTGCAACATAGTTGAAACTTTGTGTGGAACGTTCTCTTCTTAAATTTCTATGGGGATTTTGTAATGTGTTGAAACGTTTTATTTGCAGCAGTAAGTTACAATTTACCTTCACTGTTTGGCCTATTTTAATTATTTTGAAAAATTAAAAGAAGGCTTATGCGATCACAATGTTCTCTGTGTGTCTGTATATCCCCCCATCCCCAACAACTTTTCAATGGCTGAAACAAGCTTTATGAAATTTGGTATGTATATCATGACACTTGAGCCCATCTCAACGGCGTATTTCATACTCGTAAATCCCACTGATCAGTCTGTGTGTCTATATTTGTATCCCTCAATTGTTGCTAGGCAACGGCTCGGTAAAAACGTAACAGTGGCAACGAATACGCAAGCAACAACAGGAAAATTGTTGGACGCGTGTTTTCTATACGGTCCGTGTCATATAAGAGGAAAATCATGCGATTAGTTCTTCCCAGAACTTTTTATTTCGTATTGATATCTCTCTTCCTTCTTTTCTTTATTCTAGTATGTCTTAATTTTCTCTCCCTTTCTTACTTCTTTGTTGTCTTTTCGCTTTTATTGTCTGTGCTGGTTTTTCTCTCCAATTTGTGTAACTCGTAATTCCCCAACTCTGGGTTAAGAAACTGACTTCTAGTCCCTTAGAGATCAGCATCCCGCACGGGGATTCGTGGTCCCCTGAGGCGAATTCCAACACGTTGCTGTAACTAAGTCACGATATTTCCCTTGCCACTAATTGTAAGTTTATTTGCTGTAAAATCCCAATAACTCACATTATTTCAATCAGTGAAACAACCGGAAACTGTCCTCGACAAAAGTTTATTACACATGACTCGGGATGTGGACTAGTGGCGGGAATTTATAAGTGGATATAGAAAGAATCAGTTCTAGCAGAACTCATTAAACCTACTTTCATACTACATCAATTTCTAATCCAACAGATCTATTAGATCTAGTATTATTATTGTTGTTATTTTATTTTATTGTTATGAATCACTCTCACTCAGTCACTCATGGAGCTGAGCCCTTCTTGAGAAGTCGCCAATTGTGCAGCTACTCAATAACTTCCCAGTATTTTACGGAACCCGAAGGTTCATTACCGTGTTCACAAGAACCTGCCACTGGTTCCTATCTTGAGCCAAATCAATACAGTCCATACCATTCCATCATGTCTCTCTAAGATCCATTTTAATAATGTTCACACACCTACGTCTTGGTCTTCACAATGGTCTCTTTCCTTCTGGGTTTCCCACCATTATGGCCATATTAAGTGGATCCCTTATCACCACGGCATGGCGCGTCCTCAGGTTTCGGATGGAGGAGACGCCCTCCAGTTTTGGAGGGAAGCTGCGAATATATTGAATAAGCAGCCGCGGACAGCCGACAAGGGGTGGTCCTCCAGCTTGGGGGTTTGGCGTGGGGCTAACAACTCCTCACCGTGAAAATAAGATTGTTACGAAAATTCTCAAGAATAAAGAATTTATTTCTGAAGTAGGACCCACAGATTCCATCTGAGTTTAACTGGTCAGACGTAACCTCAAACTTAGCACTTCCATCATGTTTGTAATTGTTGACTTACAAATAGCATTCCACGCATAATATATATAATTTATTTATGATTTATCTCTATACCACACTTCACTTGATTAGCTCCAGTTGTTCATTAGCTGTCGTCATCAAAACCGAAGCTGAATGAACTATTCACACAAGCAAAGCGGATAAAAACTGCATAATGAGGAGCTTCACAACTCGTACTTTTCTTGAAGTATAATTAGAATGATCAAGTCAAGAATGATGAGATGGACAGGGCATGTAGCACGAATGGGGGAGAAGAGGAATGCGTATAGGATATTGGTGAGAAAGCCACAAGAAACAAACCACTGGGAAGACCAAGACGTAGGTGTGTGGACAATACTAAAATGGATCTTAGAGAGATAGGATGGGATGGTATGGGTTGGATTGATTTGGCTCAGGATAGGGGCCAGTGGAGGGCTCTTGTGAACTTCAGTTTCCATAAAATGCTGAGAAGTTCTTGAGTAGCTGCACAATTGGCGGTTTCTCAAGAAGGGTTCAGCTACGTGAGTGAGTAATGCAGATGGAAGATGGGTAAGTTTCCTCTCCTCAAAGAGAGACAATGCATCTCTTAACATATTGCTACCAAAATATTCGAAAGCTTCTTAACTCAATTTTTTCTGAAGGCTAGCATGTTATTATCCACAAAAAATAATTAGGGGCACATTTGGAAACATTTTTATTGCCTGAATTTTTAAATATAATACGTCATTAAGGTATTATAATTTAATGTAGGTGCACTCAGTACGACAGAAAACATTCTTAACCATATATTTTAACTTAATACATAAAAGCTGCTTAGAAATTACTAGATTTCAGGATTCAGTTTTCACGTTAGTTAAGTCCCGATATATTTCATGCTTACAGAAGAACAGACGAACTCAGCGAACTTAGAGGCCCTCCACAGTGTTGTGAATAATCTGAAAGTATAATGAAGAACATCAGGATAACTAAAATCAATCACGTAAAGACAGGATTACAGCCAAATCATGAATCGTCCTATATGCCAGATATGCCTCAGACAATGGACAGGTCCCGCATAATATTGGTACAACGAATCAACTGTTGTCACAGGCCTTTAGAGAACCTATCAGAAGATCTCTCTCTCTCTCTATGCAAGTTGGACACTTATAAGACAAACGTCCAGACGTCATTAATTTGTTTATCGGACAGGACATGACAACGTCTTCCAGACGTGCATAGACATACCAGTCACAGTGCTAAAATCTTCACTTATCTGTGGAGGTCATTAGCTGTGTCATGGCCTGTCATTTCAAATTCAGCCTTCACGTAGATCAGTTTCCTTAACTTTGGTATGAATTTGTATTAGATGTTTACTGGATACTTTGCCAAACCGGAAATAAAGTGAAAATAATATAAAATTTAGAATTATAATCTTATACGGATTCGTTCAGATACGGTTCGTGAATACTTATTAGTTTCTAATTCCATTGTCGAATCAGTTGTTTTAATTACGTGTAACAGAACCTTCCCTAATAGGAAAGGTTCTTCTTCGGAACATAATTGTTTAAGGCCAAGGTTATGACTAAGGTGTGTTGACTCATGGCCAAATGATTCGTAAAACGAAAGAAGAAGAAGAAATGTTATTGTGTTGTGGTGTGCTGATCTTCTCGGTACTGTTGTAAGGAAGTAACGGTCATACTTAAGTTTGTACAAATAAACCTCGTACGCACACACCTTCGTGTGTTGACAAGACAGGAAGCTAGCTGTTCTGAGAGTTACGTGGTCTTGTATTCTTTTCTTTCAGGTGTACAAAAGAAGTGATATTAATTTTCAATCATCATCGGCATTAAAATAACGTTTTAAAGGATTGAACTTCGGAAATTTTAATGATGAATGATTCAAATACGTAGTGAATGACACCTGAATTTTTCCTGAAGATTGTTATCAGCGCCTCATCATCAGTTTTCTAGTCAGTCTCTGAGAGCCGGTCCACTCTTACCCGGTGAGTACAGATTTCATTGTTTTCACTATTTCAATCCCAAGAGATGGCCACGATGAAAACTCTGCAGAAGTGATGATATCCTGAACTTATAATATGTAAATTACATGTATTTACATTTATATCTGTAATTAACTTTGGATCACGCCATGAAGAAGTAAGGCAAATAGAGGTATAACCCCATGCGTTCATAAACTCAGCCCTAGATTGAACTGAGTGGCCAGCTTCACTACGCCGGCAGCTTAACCCCCTGGGAGGACCTCCTCGTTCCCAGAACGGGTCTGAACGCTGTGAAGAAGGGAGAAGTCACTGTCCTTGCTAGTAATTGAGCCCTGGTATTGCAATCCTATGTCCATTTTCTTTGGATTCTTGTTATATATTTTTTATTCAACCTGTGATGCGTTGGTATGATGCGAATGGCCAAAAAGGAAAACTGTCGGCGTTTGCAGGGATCTTCTGGTTTGGAGAGTACAAGACTGATTCAGACACCGCGATGTTTTGATGTGACAAGAAGTAAATAAATTCCTGGCTTGCAAAGTTATGGACTCAGGTTAACCACAGAAATGTCAGCTTCAACTCCTACGTACCAAGACGCCATTTTAGATTGTCAGAGCTGCTTTTATCTCGTGGGTTAATTATATATTATAATAAATATCTTGAAATGCTGGGAAAATTCCCTCCAAATATAGTTCATACTAAGTGTCAATGAATGTCCAATGTTGACAGGTATAACGATGTTTATAAAGGCCTATTTTTTCAAACTAGGCAATTTCATGGTTAATAATCATTATGCTTTACATGACTAAGTACTAGGATAATATTAAAATGGATCTTAAGGAAATGGGGCATGAGATTCGGACTTATTCCATCTGGATCCAAACAGGTCTCATTGGCAGGATCCTGTGAACACGGTAATGAACATTCGGGTTGAATGAAAGACTGGCGATTATTGACTTCTTAGGTAGGGATTTACTCATATTTCTCCGTTACTTACTTAGATTTAAATGCATTTATAATGAATATTGTTTAACAAAATACGAATATCATATCTTTGACACATATATCAAAAGATGAAATGCGCCAATTATATAACTATAGGAATCATAACCTCCAGATATATTTGGTGACTAACATAGGATAAGATGCCGGTCACTGTAGCTGAGTGGTCTAAGGCATGTACTGTCTTCGCTCGCTTAGAAACCGGGATCGTGGGTTCGAATCCCACTCAGGGCATGGAGGTTTAGTTTGTGTGTGTGCGTCTTTCTGTGTTTGTGTACAGGTAGAGGCCTTGCGACGAGCTGATCACCCGCCCAAGGAGTCCTACCGTATGTGTAAGATCTAGAAAAACCGAAGTGAACGGAGAAGTTCATGGAGGTAGGCCTAGGCCCACTGTGGCTGTAGTGCCAAAGGATAAAAATATATATATATATAACAGTCTCTTCCAAAACAGTTTCTCCACTTAATGCGATCTTCTGTTTTTGGAACGAGACTATCCAGGAAAAGTGATAATGTGGTAGTTTTTCCATTTGCTTTCCACATCGCAGTACAACAGCCGTTCAAACGACTCTGGTCACGCCTGTTGCTATACGAACTTGAACCATCTCGAGCATCATTTGCTCTGTGCTTCAAGTCGCTGCTGATGACGCTGCTTCCGACATCAGTTTTCGGTGTCTCTCTTCGTCTGATGCCTACCCTTTGATCTGTCCAGCAAGGGAGGCCCTGCCCGTAGCTACGCTACCGCTGGTATAGCTCTCAGGGTCCTTGGCATACTCAAACCCCCTCACCACGATAAGGTGGAGACACCTGGATAAAAATAGGATAATATAAATGTAAAGTTTTTCTGGGCATAATTAAATAAGCACCACGTCATGAAGACATTTGGGGGAGTGAAGTTATAGATCCTCGATTCTTGACCTTGGCACTAGATGAAGGTGAGTGGTCTGCTTCACGCCCCTAAATTAACATTCTTCAGTATAGTTATTAGCTTTTCGGTGGAGCCTGCTTGTAGTAAACATCTGATTTGTGTCCACTATAAAGTCTTCAAAATGATTCAACTATTTTTTCAGCAGAATAAAAGGCATAAAATCTTCAATTCTTTTGCGTCTTTAGGGCATATGGCTTAAATAAGGACGGTATCAACTTTCATAACCTTACTGTTTTTATTTAATAAATAAAAGAGAGTGTGTGTTCACATTCTAATTTGAAAACCGAGAAAGCTGAAATGTGGCATACGTACTTACGGAAACCTGAGAGTGTGCATCTGAGGTTTTTTTTTTTTACTTCTACAGTTCTTCTTTTTGCGGGCTGCAATTAAGGGGTAGTTTTATATATTTTTTATTGTGAAAATAATTGTAAATACAAAAGAGACCTAGGCAATGCCCATCCGGCTATTTGTAGCACATTCTTATAAACATCTTATTCTATCATAGCGGTCACCCCGTGATTCTTATAACTTAAACCTGTTAATGTACTACGCGTATTGTTTTGTACATGTACTCCTTTTTATTTTCTTACATAGTTTTTTTAAATAAATATATGGATGTTATTTGTGAAGTGACAGTTGTCTTACACAAATCTTTTTCCTTCTAGCTTTAAGAGCTCTGTGGCTGACCTTTGGCATTCTTTTGCTGCTCTTATGCCGAATGTCCTTCACTGTTGCCCGGTGGTCCTCGCACAGTTTACAGTACCAGAGGATATCTTCCTCCGTTTGCAGCCCGTCATCACATTCGGAGTTATTTTATAATTATTTTAGTACGTGTACTGCCCTGTAATAGCAGCAATGCGAACTATGAAACTGTTTGTGAGGTTATGCTTCGTGCATTCGAAGTCACTATGACACTTTTTTTTTCCTTGGCACTACAGCCCCAGTGGGCCTAGGCCTACCTCCATGAACTTCTCCGTTCACTTCGGTTTTTCTAGATCTTACACATACGGTAGGACTCCTTGGGCGGGGGATCAGCTCGTCTCAAAGCCTCTACCTGTACACAAACACAGAGAAACGCACACACACTAACTAAACATCCATGCCCTGAGTGGGATTCGTACCCACGATGTTGGTTTCCAAGCGAGCGAAGACAGTACAGGTCATGATGCTCTTTACAAACACAAATTATATATGTTTAAAAAGAATTAGTCACTGTAAGGATAATAAAATAAATTAGCATACACTTTCACTAACAATCTGTATATATCTTGAATAAAATGTCTTCCAATTGCATTCCCTAGATAATGTAGCGTGTTTGCAATTGTTCAATCGGAGACCGAAAAATTTAGTGCGCTCGGCTGTTATCGGTTTGTTTGGTTGGCTCGTGTGGTCACGTATACGTATATAAGTAATTAAAAACTGTCTTGCATTCACCTGGCATTAAAAGAACAGAAGCTCGATACGAGTACAACTTATAAATGTTTATAAAAATTAATTACTCTAAACATAATAAAAATAAATTAATTTAGACTTCGTGAGTAAGTTATCTAAATCGTGTAAGATTTGAGGTTTTCATGATGGTAACTATGAAGAATGCAGTCTTCTGGAATGTGGCTTTGTGTGTATCTTGTGTAAATGGACGTTTCGGAGGAACCTATCGCCTCCATCTTCAAGGTAAACAAATACGTGAGCGAGGATTTTTCTACCTTGAAGATGGAGGCGATACATTCTTCCGAAACGTCGGTTTATACAAGATATGCACGGCGCCACATCCCAGAAGAAGGCATTCTTCATATGTCTATCATGTACTGAATAAAATGATTTCCAATTGGAACGTATTCAAGAAACTGGAGTGTCTGCAGCTATTAACTGATGAAGCTCAACGTGAATAACAAATTAACAGTTATTTACGAAATACATTACTCTAAGCCTAATTGACGCAGATTTCCGTGGATAGGCTATCACTCTCTTTAATAAAACGACTCCCAGGTCCGCTTCTCCATGGATCTGACGTGCTTGTGATTATTGTATGGAACAGCGAAAAAATGTTCATAAAAATTATCGTTTTAGTGCGCTGTGTTCAGTTAAGAAGGAGACTCTGATTTAACCAGAGCAAGGCCCTGTCCTTGCAGGTACCATCCACATAAATAATTTACACTCGTTGTTTCGATTAACTTATTTATATTCTGCGTCTTTGACCAATATTTATTTAACACTCAAAGGCTCGTTGTACGTATTCCTAAATTATAAATATTTGTCCTTTAAGTAACATCATATTTAACCTTGCAGATTACGAATAATTTCCTCGCTGTCAGCCTTCTTCCATATTCAACCTTGTACCCCAGAATCCACATTTTTTTCTCAATAAATTAACCAAAACCATACACACAAATCTGACACTCGACTAGTTCAGAACAGGCTAGTCTATTTCAGAATTTGAAGATTTAAATTCAAATCAAAAGCTGGTGAGTAAATAAAATAGAACATTTTCCACGGATATATTATCTACATTGTGAAATATTAAACCAGTAAACAGCGCAGAAAGGTTAAAAGGAATTACGGACATACGAGTATGTTGAAAGTTAACAGCTAAATTATACGGCTTTATTCGGTTGTTGATATTCTCTGCTGCTCTGTGAGGCAGTCTCCATGAACAACTACTGGATCCGCCCACTTCTAATAGTTTACAACGCATCCGCTTCTGGCAGCCCAATTTATGCGTAAGATCTCGACCATAAAGTTAAAAAGTAAAGCTATCCCTGTAACAGACCGTGAAGACGCATAGGGTTGTGAGACGTTGAGGGCCCCACATTATCTAGACAACTGGCTCAAAGATGGCAGTAAAGTTGTCAGCCTTACGCGCCGGCCGCTCTTTACTCCCCAGGAAAATTATTTAATTAATTCCTGGTACTCATTTCTGTTAGAGGCTGAGTCGACCCCAGGGCCATAGTGCGGCTGGAAGGATTAGGTCAATTGAAAAAAATCCAATGACCTCATTTCGACGTGAACCTCGACCTTCCGGCTTGTAGCATATCCCCTCAACCAACTACGCTACCGCGTGCCCCAAAGGTCTCGACCT